CTACCATGCATTGATCTGGATGAGTCCATTATGGTCTACATTGGTAAAAGGGGTTCACAAGTTCAAATAACTTGTTTCATAATTGTTGTAAAATAGATAACATGTATAGAAGAGTACTTACCACTTCCTCCATAGCCAGGTAATTATGCACCTTGTCGATGGCCTGATTTTCAAACTGGAACTCCTGGGTGAAATCGACACCGTCAGACTTCATGATAGCATTATCCATAGCCTTGAGAATTAGTCCACGCATGTATACGCTCGGGTGTTGAGCGTCAACAAGGTCCTGGGTGATGAAGTTACAGCGCTGTTCTATCGGGATCACCTGGTGGTCCAACCTGTCAACACATCATCGTCACAGAATTAAAACGTTGTTTCTACAACCTCAACATTTCTCAGAGTTTTTTTGTTAAGAATTTGTTTTTACTCAAGTTGATTGATATTAACTCAATGACACAAAACCTTCAAACTACACTTGATGCAAATTCATGAAACAGACACGAAAGTCCGCCTAAGCAGCATGAATGGTTCGGAAATGCGTAAAAAATACCTACCAGACTTCATACGACTTCCACATAGCCCGACGTTGCCTGTACGTGTTGGTGTCAGTAAAGGTAATCACGGAAATGTAGTTAATTTTCTGTAAACAAAAATACAAACACTCTCGTTAAACCATTATCATCATTGCTGAATAAAAGACTTAATTTCAAGAACAAACATTTTATTTTATTTTGATGTTCTATAAGTTAGCCACACAATAAAAGAAAAATGTGTTTCCTGAAACAAGTTTTAAAAAATTAGGGTAGGTGGGAAGGGAAAAAGAATTAATATGAAAAATAATTTTGCTTGGTTTATATAGAGGTTGATCTTTGAAAATTGTGTTAGAAAGGTTTATGGTAGACAAACAAAAATTAGGGTAGGTAGGGTTACCAGAAATATAAAATATGGATGAATAACCTGTCTCCCCACCATGCTACATGTATATATAGGCTAAAATATCCCGACCCTTTACCCCTGTTGTTCCAGGTGAGTTAAGAAGTTGCCGCTAATGAACATTACTAAGTAGACCAATTGTTTTCCCTGTATCACCAGGAGTGGGAGAGTGTTACCTGTCCAAAGAAGACTGCATACATCTTGCCCTTGGAACACGTCACACTGACCTCCAAGTTCCGAGGAAGGTCCCATTCTGAGGCATCAATAAGACATCCCGGGAAACCTAGCATGTTAAGCATATATATGTAAACTACGGACATCTTAGAAAAATCAACATTTCAAACATTTATATATACCAAGTCTGACAATACAAGAGTTCTAATGCAAAAAAATAGCAGCGAAGAAAAAATTACAATTTTGTTAATCAAACTAAAAGAGCAATTTTATTTGTTTAGAATGTCCAATCCAAGGCAGGATTTCAAATGCGGTATACGTGAATCTTGTTTTGTTTGTAGTACACTTCTTACATTGTATTCCAGGCATACGGTAGCTAATTGCATGTGCATTTAGTGTGTGTTAACATTCAATTTTTCGGTGTTTTTTGTTTACAAGATAATGTTTTTTTTGTAGTTTTGTTTAAAGGTATTATAAATAATATACGTGTACAATGCATTAAAGTAAATTGTGATATTTTATTACATTATCTGAATTATTTTAACTATTGTTTTTTAATCCATTTCCTAAAAGTCATGCTACGATAGTACATGTATATGTATATGCAAGTGATTTATATTTGTTTGTGTTTTATGTCCTATTAACAACTATGGTCATTTAAGGATGTGCCAGGTTTTGG